TCACGTACAGGACTTTAATTGCTTCAGGTTGTCTTTTTTGCTGCTGGTCTTCATTCAGCTAGTACACACAGAACGTAAGTACCTACGTAAGTGGATTTTGCTTACGAAAGTCTGTGTAATATGTTGTGGCCTGTGACCTGGTTTAAACCTTAATTGACATCTCCTTCTCTGTGTAAATAGCCTCAGTTTGATCCGTACGCTGCTCTCTCTATATACTGCCTCGCACTCAGCAACCGTGCCAGTCGTTTCAAAGCCATCTCCGATCTTTGCAGTAAGTCATTGCAACGTCTCCGTTTATCAGTAAAATCTCGCTCGTAGGGTAAAAAGCACCGAGTAATACATGTAGACAAGTGCGAAAAACGTAAAAACACGGGACACGTGATATATAAATCCGGTATAAATCCGGTGTTCGTTATCACACGACCTGTTACACCTGGCAACTCGTGTCAGAACTCTAACTGCTATGCTTTTACATTGTCTGGTATATCAGATTAGTCTTTGAGTGGATACTCATGCGGATATCCTTTTCACTGTGTTTCTTTAACGCATGTTGATTCCAACCTGCTTAATTAAATTAAAATTTTACAAGAACAAGTGCTGCACAGGCAAATGGAGGTTTCATTATACCAGATAGTTATTAAATACAATTTTGATGCGACAAGTAACATTATATAATTTAAGTTGCCCTTTCTTTCCACTAAATTGCCACACGTGTAAATCTTAAATGTCCAATAAAAGATGAAAGACCATTCTTAATCTTATCGTTCATAATCTTTTCGGTTTTGGAAGCCGACCTTTCCATATAGATGCTTCTAGGAGAGGGGAGATCCAACCCCACAAATCGTATGTACGTCTGGCAAGTCTATCTGATTCATTTATTTCCTCCTGTAGCACGTCCATTTCATAGCATGTTGTTATAACAAAGGCTAAATCACTTTTAATGATCTATAATATTACATAAAATAAATTGGTTTCCTGTTAAATCTTCAGTTTTCTTTCAGAAAAAGTTCCTACTTCATTTTACTGCATGAGTTTATTACTATTACTGTATATATATGAGACTATTACTATTACCCCATTTTTACTAGATGTGGCAGTGCACCAAGAAAAGAAGACAACGATTTAATTGATGTTCTCGTAGAACTTTATTCCTAAGCTTGATTTCTTATTTCCATGTACTATTGCCCAAAATAAAATATTATACATAAATCTACGACAAAAAAAAAAATGAATTTTCTTATTCTGAGATTTAAAAAAGCCACTGTTTTTAAATAGTCCATCTAGTGGTTACATTTATCCATTGCCTATAGACCTCAAATACATTTGACTTCAAGGGTTGTTTGTAAAGCTAGCCGCGGTTTAGTGGCCAGTCACAAATCAGTTGCGATGCGTCGTGGATGGGTAAAACCCGGGAAATTTGAACAAAATCTTGAGACAGATCTCATGATTTTGCACCCGTCGGAAGCGCTCTCCGGACGCCTGCGGGTTGTCGCAGATTTTTTAGACATCGCCACACCCGTCGCAGTCCCCAACTTTGAACTTAAAATTTTAAGATTGCTGGCAAGATTTTTCACCCATTTTGGGCATCCCAGACACAATCTCCGATGACCTACGATGCCCTCCGATTAATCGGAGGCGTCCTCCGAATAATCTGAGACTAGTCGCAAGATTCTGTGTGGGATTGGAAAATCAGGTTGAGATTCAATGTCTGCGAGTAGTCTCCGGCGCCCTCCGACTGAATCGGAGGCGCCCTGCGACGATTCGTACGACTTATGTGATCGTCTCCGACGAATTGTACGGTGGAATCGTAGTAAATCGCCGTGTATATAAGGGCGCCTCCGACCGGATCGCTAAAAGTTTGAGACGCTCTTGCTGCAGGAGGCTGTGACAGAAGATTTTGAAGATGCCAAGGGGAGGACCAAGGGGAGGAAAAAATTACTAGAAAAGACGCTCGCAGATATCGTCTCCGGAGGCGATCGGAGGCTAATCCCACGATTTTTCGACAAAACCGGGTCAAAATCCTTGAAAAAAATCTCAGACAATGTGACTGCTCCACTTTTATTAGGATTATTGCTAGGATTGTTCAAGGATTCTTTATTTTCTACGACGACCCCCGGCCAAAACTAATCCCCGACAGATCGCCGACATTGTGACTGGGCCATTACCAACTTATGATTGCAGCACGACTGAAGTACATGTATCTCCCTTTAAGAAAAAGTTTACCCACAATCACTGGCAACCCAAACATTTTGAGATTAAAATGTAAAATGTCACTAAAAAGATTAATGGGAAACCCGCCATTTTCGATGCAAAAGTTGGACCGAAGCCTGCTATTATTAAATATCAGCAACTGTAAGTCAAAATCTATTTTTGTAGTGTGACTTTCCACACTTAGTTTTGCAAAGGAAATGAATTTACTCTAATTAAAAGCAATTATTATGACCTTTTTAGAATCATGACTTGGGGCCTAGCTGACCTGAGGGTAAATTTTAGCATTTTCTGCCACAGAGTTATATAAGGAATGTTCACTTGCTCGTAAGAGCATTTAAGCTTACATTTATTCCCCGATCAAATGGCACAAAATTTTCAGTATTAATGCCGCACTTTTTCATGGTTAGAATATCTAGCCCGCTGCCACTATTGCCATAAGTACCAAAAGTCTAATGGTACCGAAATGGATATTAACTCGATTCCCCTTAGAGGCGGTGATCGGCGTGGTATCATAAAATGGCGGCATGCAGCTGTGGTGCGTGGTGCTCACCATGCAGGGAGGGAACGATTCTGAACGTATGCCTATAGGACCTCCGGATATATAAAACTGTTGGTATTTCAGAGTATGCTCAATTTGTGCTTGTACATTATTAAAAGCGTTACGGCCTTCTTCGTAGTTTGCTAGTCTCAAGTAGATAGTTATCATTAACTTAACGGCGAATGTGATGGGACTTGTCTCTGTTGGTGCATTATGTTTCTGCTCGCAGCTTACAAAAAGGGCATTCTCTGCATTTAATACATCGGAAAATCGATGATCCGATCTAAGAATCCTACAGTCATCCTTTGGGGTTGGGGACCATCCACAGGGTTCAAAGTGTAACACGATTACATTTTGTAGTGCCGTAAAGTTGTACAAAAGTGGGCGGCAGTCGTTGGCATCAGGAGCAGATCCTGGGGGGCACATTATATGATGCTCTTCAGGCTGGAAACCAGAGGACGCACCCATATATATGGTAATAAAATACGGGTAATTTTGTAATTAATTTATTTACAGTTTTACCAGTTTAGAAATTGGCAAAAAAAGCTGATGATTATAATTACATCAATATGTTAACATAATATAAATGCATACTTTTGATAAATAATAAACTACTCAATTTCATTATCATCAGGATAATCATGATCGTATTTTCNTGTCAATTCTCACGAATTATCCACGAATCGCGAACCCATTCATTTTCCTATGGCAATCTAGCAACTCATTGAAAATGCACGCATGCGCAGTGGGCTAGGCGTGACGTCATGCAGTGCATTTCTGGGGATGATTACAACTCTGACATGGTCAGGCATGCCCAAAAGATGCTAGAGACGACTTATGAACGTTCGTGTATTCCTAAAGACTATACTGCGCTAGTAATGTTCTAAGAATGCAATTGAAATAAACAGATTTAGAATTTGACTATACTGTTCGTTAAATGGGTATCAGCATGTTTGGTCCATAAAACGATTGTCGCGTGCCCTTAAAGGGATAATAACTCTTCGTATGAGATCTATATTTCACAATGAAAACATTGTGAACAACTCATAGAAATATTATATATTCTGTCGTACAAGAAAAACAGCAGTTATAGCTATTATTCTGATATCTTAACTTGTCTTCAGACCACGAGACCTCCACTGATGGCTGTACTCTGTTATAATCTCTTAAGAGATTTTAACAAAAAAACCAAACTTTTTAGAAAAAAACCAGGGACTAACTTTGAATGTAAAAATGGATTCATTAACCATTGGTAAGTATGGGAAAATTGTTGTTTACTCCAGGAAAATTCATTTTTTAGTCAAAACGAAGAGTTATTATCCTTTTAATTTCAACCGTTATTTAATTCAGGTCTACTTCTGCTAAAGCGGGACTGTGTTTGTTGTGGGTAAAAATGTATATGTGCTGTAGATGGATGTACTACTATCAGAGCCATGACCCTCCATGTCAATATGCACAGTCAGATAAGGGTCGGTTTTACTGACCCGTGTTATCTGTAGGTTAGGAGTTCACTTAAGGAGAAAGTCGATGCTCCCCATCTGTACTCTCTAGCAAAGGGCAATTTTGTTACAACAGAAAAACCTCTGGTATAGGGAGTTCCCCACCTGTGACAGCAGCTGAGTATTCAACCGGGGACTCGTATTATTTCGCCTTTTACAAATAAATAAGTGAATAAAATAGCGGACCCATGAAAGGGTTCATCGGACACGTCTACGCCCCTTACGCCCCATTTCCATACATTAGATCGACCTACTTTAGATCGACCTAACTCCCGGGGGGTTCACGCTAAATAGCTGTCAGCCGGGCGGACACGAAAGTTAATTATCCCCTTATAGCTTGTAGTAGGCGGGACGGACATTTAAGTCGGATTGTCTGGAAGTAATCTAGTGAGACTCCCCGCGGGGATAGATCGATCTAAAATCTATGGGAATAGAGCCTTAGTTTCTAAGGCACCCTTTCTCATTTAAGAAACAAAAGAATAAAAAATACATTAAAAAGGTATAAAGAACGAAACGAGGGAAACTCGATCAGCAAATTTAATCCCTTACAGATTATAGTTAATTTGCATTTTTGCCCATTGTTTTATTCATGTCGAGCTGAGCACGGCAATAATTTTTTTCCCTCTGCACCCCCTGGGTACATCCTGGACCGACCAGACTGGTATCAAAGCCTGACCTTGCAACTGCGAAAAGAGTTCACCTTATCGCCCAAAAGTAGAAGTAACAAGGCCAGAGGTAAGTGGTCGTTTGAGTATATTTTGCTTCACGTACAGGACTTTACTTGCTTCAGGTTGTCTTTTTTGCTGCTGGTCTTCATTCAGCTAGTACACACAGAACGTAAGTACCTACGTAGGTGGATTTTGCTTACGAAAGTCTGTGTAATATGTTGTGGCCTGTGACCTGGTTAAAACCTTAATTGACATCTCCTTCTCTGTGTAAATAGCCTAAGTTTGGTCCGTACGCTGCTCTCTCTATATACTGCCTCGCACTCAGCAACCGTGCCAGTCGTTTCAAAGCCATCCCCGATCTTTGCAGTAAGTCATTGCAACGTCTCCGTTTATCAGTAAAATCTCGCTCGTAGGGTAAAAAGCACCGAGTAATACATGTAGACAAGTGCGAAAAACGTAAAAACACGGGACACGTGATATATAAATCCGGTATAAATCCGGTGTTCGTTATCACACGACCTGTTACACCTGGCAACTCGTGTCAGAACTCTAACTGCTATGCTTTTACATTGTCTGGTATATCAGATTAGTCTTTGAATGGATACTCATGCGGATATCCTTTTCACTGTGTTTCTTTAACGCATGTTGACCTTTCTGACGATGGTGAATCTGATGTACATTGTTGTACTTCGACAGACGGATGCCGAGAATAAAAAAAAAAGGCGCACGTACGTCTTCATCCTTTTGTTTCGACGTCATTTAAGGCTGGGTAACGCTGGTGTTGGTAATTATCAGTAGATTCCAACCCGCTTAATTTAATTAAAATTTTACAAGAACAACTGCTGCACAGGCAAATGGAGGTTTCATTATACCAGATAGTTATTAAATACAATTTTGATACGACAAGTAACATTATATAATTTAAGTTGCCCTTTCTTTCCACTAAATTGCCACACGTGTAAATCTTAAATGTCCAATAAAAGATGAAAGACCATTCTTAATCTTATCGTTCATAATCTTTTCGGTTTTGGAAGCCGACCTTTCCATATAAATGCTTCTAGGAGAGGGGGGATCCAACCCCACAAATCATCTGTTCGTCTGGCAAGTCCATCTGATTCATTTATTTCCTCCTGTAGCACGTCCATTTCATAGCATATTGTTATAACAAAGGTTAAAGCACTTTTAATGATCTATAAAATTACATAAAATAAATTGGTTTCCTGTTAAATCCTTCAGTTTTCCTTCAGAAAAAGTTCCTACTTCATTTAACTGCATGAGTTTATTACTATTACTGTATATATATATATATATATATATATATATATATATATATATATATATATATATATATATATATATATATGAGACTATTACTATTACCCCATTTTTACTAGATGTGGCAGTGCACCAAGAAAAGAAGACAACGGTTTAATTGATGTTCTCGTAGAACTTTATTCCTAAGCTTGAATTCTTATTTCCATGTACTATTGCCCAAAATAAAATATTATAAATAAATCTACGACAAAAAAAAAAAAAAAAAAAAAAAAGAAAAAAAAAATGAATTTTCTTATTCTGAGATTTAAAAAGCCACTGTTTTTAAATAGTCCATCTAGTGGTTACATTTATCCATTGCCTATAGACCTCAAATACATTTGACCTCAAGGGTTCTTTGTAAAGCTAGCCACGGTTTAGTGGCCAGTCACAAATCAGTTGCGATGCGTCGGGGATGGGTAAAACCCGGGAAATTTGAACAAAATCTTGAGACAGATCTCTGATTTTGCACCCGTCGGAAGCGCTCTCCGGACGCCTGCGGGGTGTCGCAGATTTTTTAGACATCGCCACACCCGTCGCGGTCCCCAACTTTGAACTTAAAATTTTAAGATTGCTCGCAAGATTTTTCACCCATTTTGGGCATCCCAGACACAATCTCCGATGACCTACGATGCCCTCCGATTAATCGGAGGCGTCCTCCGAATAATCTGAGACTAGTCGCAAGATTCTGTGTGGGATTGGAAAATCAGGTTGAGATTCAATGTCTGCGAGTAGTCTCCGGCGCCCTCCGACTGAATCGGAGGCGCCCTGCGACGATTTGTACGCTTTATGTGATCGTCTCCGACGAATCGTACGGTGGAATCGTAGTAAATCGCCGTGTATATAAGGGCGCCTCCAACCGGATCGCTAAAAGTTTGAGACGCTCTTGCTGCAGGAGGCTGTGACAGAAGATTTTGAAGATGCCAAGGGGAGGACCAAGGGGAGGAAAAAATTACAAGAAAAGACGCTCGCAGATATCGTCTCCGGAGGCGATCGGAGGCTAATCCCAAGATTTTTCGACAAAACCGGGTCAAAATCCTTGAAAAAATCTCAGACAATGTGACTGCTCCACTTTTATTAGGATTATTGCTAGGATTGTTCAAGGATTCTTTATTTTCTACGACGACCCCCGGCCAAAACTAATCCCCGACAGATCGCCGACATTGTGACTGGGCCATTACCAACTTATGATTGCAGCACGACTGAAGTACATGTTTCTCCCCTTAAGAAAAAGTTTACCGACAATCACTGGCAACCCAAACATTTTGAGATTAAAATGTAATATGTCACTAAAAAGATTAATGGGAAACCCGCCATTTTCGATGCAAAAGTTGGACCGAAGCCTGCTATTATTAAATATCAGCAACTGTAAGTCAAAATCTATTTTTCTGTAGTGTGACTCTCCACACTTAGTTTTGCAAAGGAAATGAATTTACTCTAATTAAAAGCAATTATTATGACCTTTTTAGAATCATGACTTGGGGCCTAGCTGACCTGAGGGTAAATTTTAGCATTTTCTGCCACAGAGTTATATAAGGAATGTTCACTTGCTCGTAAGAGCATTTAAGCTTACATTTATTCCCCGATCAAATGGCATAAAATTTTCAGTATTAATGCCGCACTTTTTCATGGTTAGAATATCTAGCCCGCTGCCACTATTGCCATAAGTACCAAAAGTCTAATGGTACCGAAATGGATATTAACTCGATTCCCCTTAGAGGCGGTGATCGGCGTGGTACCATAAAATGGCGGCATGCAGCTGTGGTGCGTAGTGCTCGCCATGCAGGGAGGGAACGATTCTGAACGTATGCCTATAGGACCTCCGGATATATAAAACCGTTGGTTTTTCAGAGTATGCTCAATTTGTGCTTGTACATTATTAAAAGCGTTACGGCCTTCTTCATAGTTTGCTAGTCTCAAGTAGATAGTTATCATTAACTTAACGGCGAATGTGATGGGACTTGTCTCTGTTGGTGCATTATGTTTCTGCTCGCAGCTTACAAAAAGGGCATTCTCTGCATTTAATACATAGGAAAATCGATGATCCGATCTAAGAATCCTACAGTCATCCTTTGGGGTTGGGGACCATCCACAGGGTTCAAAGTGTAAGACGATTACATTTTGTAGTGCCGTAAAGTTGTACAAAAGTGGGCGGCAGCTCTTAGCATCAGGAGAAGACACTGGGGGGCACATTATATGATGCTCTTCAGGCTGGAAACCAGAGGACGCACCCATATATATGGTAATAAAATACGGGTAATTTTGTAATTAATTTATTTACAGTTTTACCAGTTTAGAAATTGGCAAAAAAAGCTGATGATTATAATTACATCAATATGTTAACATAATATAAATGCATACTTTTGTTAAATAATAAACTACTCAATTTCATTATTATCAGGATAATCATGATCGTATTTTGATTTCTCACCAAAATGATGGCGCCATCATTCTCTTTCCTGTCTAGATCTCCAACATACAACAGGGCACGGAAAGAAAGACCTTTGAACCTTATTTGATCTGGTGGCGGTGTGTAACTTTGATCTGAATATGAAAAAATTAACTAAAAGGACTATATTACAATTACATTAAACACTAATTGCAAACACTGATATATTTGTCTGTTAAATACTTTCACCGTGTCGAAACCTAGATAAAGACCTATAACCATAAGAAAATGAAGATATATATTTTATCTTTCAATGATTTATTTCAGTTTTCAAAGCTAAGACCCAGAAAAACAAGAACGTTATCCCGAGAGAAGTTACACTTTATTCGTCAGGATCTAAAATGTCTAAACACCGACATAACGATATATATAACGATATGTTTCATGCAGTTCTGACCCGCAGACCGAGTCTTCTTATTTCTTGATCCAAATTAACATGTTAAGTTCTAAAGGCAAACAGATCACTCACCTTTGCATAAGGAATTTTCGCCATATTTGTAACAGATCAGGCAGTGGTAGTTCTTAAAACTTTTTTCATTGTCGCCTTCGATAATGGGGTTGTTGTACGCCATGCAGGCATCTCGTAAGGGGGAATGCAAGGGGAGTGGGCCAGGTACACGGTGCACGACTCCATTGATAAAAGTGAACTCACAAGGACCAAAGTCACGATTCTCCACTTCTCGGAAACATGTCCTCAATTTCCACTCTGGTTTCGACTCGAAAATACTATTGCATCCGAGATATGCCAAATGTTTTAAAACATCAGACGAGGAGTTGTAGTGTGGCATTTTTTCAATTTGAACCGCTCCAGTGCAATAGACGACCAGTCCCCACGGCTCCCCACCGCCCTCGATACCATTACAAGCTGCGCAGAACTTGTTTTTGAAAGTGATCATTGTGTCTGGATCGGTGACTGGTTGGTGCAACAGCACGTCCTCTAAGAGGCTCGTATTTGAGGTATTGGTGCACTTGATACGAGTGTTTTCTTCTAACCACGACGAGGGACATTGGTCCACCATCCAAAATTTCAACCCGAAATTGTCCTCATATCCGTGTGTGGTTTGTGGTATTTGTCGGTGCAACTTTGGAATATATTTGCAAGAGCTTCTTTGTGCCAGGGAAATCAACATAGGGTTGACCCGTTTCTTTTGTTCTTCCCAAGAAGAAGTCTTGTTTGGGAATACAGCCAGTGTGGTGCTGTTACTTTGACGTTTTGTTAGGCTGGATGCAAGGATTGTTTCAAAGTGTGAGGTATTGTGCGTCGTTGTTAATCTGACTGAAGCAGCACACATCGCGGTATTTTCTGACACACCATAGCAACAGTCATCATACAGGACGCACAGAGGGTCGCAGTTGCAGTGGATCTTAAGGCCAGTTTGACGAAAGTTGGTTTTTGAACAGAGCCACCGATACGGCATTAGAGTTACGTCTGGGGGAAAAAAGGTTCCCTTCGCTGTGTCTGCAGTTTCACTTGTGTTGGTCAACCCATCGAGCAGTGCATCCTCTTCATGTGGTGAATGAGATACTCCTTCAAGCATTCCACCCTCAGTAGTGCGTGACTCTTGTGTGACCCCCTCACGGATATAACTCTTAATAGTAGACGATTCTTGTGTGACTCCCTCATGGATTCTACCCTCAGTAGTTGGTGAGTCTTGTGTGACTCCCTCATGGATTCTACTTTCAGTAGTTGGTGACTCTTGTGTGACTCCCTCATGGATTCTACCCTCAGTAGTTGGTGCCTCTTGTGTGGGTCCTTTGTACATTCCATCCTCAATATTGGAAAAGCCATGTGTAACTACCTCGTGCATTCCACCAGTGGAGACGGTCGCCATATTTGATGACTCTCCCGTGAATCCCACAGGCGCCCAAATCTCGGAATTGGGTGACTGGTGTGTGGATCCTTCAAACTGACCTTCTTCTTGGGTAAAAACTAACACACCGTCTGTCAGCTGACCAAATGTCAGCGTGCATAAAATGAGATAGATGGTCATCATGCTACTTAACATGAAATCTTTGTGCGGCAGTTGCACGTAAAACTGAAGCAGACTCGAGAGCAGAGTTCGCAAACCTTTCTATTCCGCTTACTCCCTTGCTAGCAGAGATGATCAACTGCCGTATATCGAGACGCATTAACGGTTTTGTGTAGACGCACGACAGGGCGTGTCAATGATGTCCCAACTGTGTTGCGATAAAAAGTTCGTTATTTCAAATTTCCATGTCAAAAAGAGGGAGAACGGTTTTTTGAATATCATTATTATAACCCCAGTGTGGTTTTAATACACGACTAAATACCACAAGAGTACGGTTCCGATCAACTGGAACACGATTCCCGATAAAATGCAAAAAAGCATCTGCTTTTACATCACAAACACACGAACTGTTTTGACATATCGGATTATCAGCACACGATTGCGGTTGTCAAATCGTAACTTAATGTCTAAAGCAGAAACATTACGTTGGCGGGGTTGCGAGCTCACACATCTTGTGGCCATCGTTTTCTCTTTCGACCATTTTTCCCATTGGTACGGGGGATGTATGCGTCACAATTTAATTTGATGTTGTATTTATCGTCCACCAATTTTTTAAACGTTGTATCATATTATTTTTTGTCGTTTTATAAATCATAATTTTCAGTCTTATGGACGGGTCTTGTTTACTTCTAAAAAAAAAAACAGCTTCCTTGGGATTGTGAACATCTGGCTACATAACTGTGCTTTTATGCTAGCAATGTCTGTCATGAAATATTTGTTCTAAAGGTCTAGGTATTCATTTTAGATGTTGTATCTTTCAATTGTAGTCCTTTGTGTAAATTGTCTTACTGAGGTAGAATGAGATGTAGAATGCCTCTGTTTTTTATTCTTATACTGTCAAATGTAAAAGAGAGATGAGGCGTTAATAAAACAAACAAACACACAAACAGATAAATAAATAAATTAAAAAATTAATAAATATAATGGGTTGAACATTAAAATGGGAAGTTGTAGTCGAACAAAAAGGGAATGGATAGCTATATCGATGCGGGAGGACACAAACCGGATATCATACCCTCATGATGGGTAAAAATGTACAAAAATACAAAAAGTTTTTTACTGGAACACGTTTGTCCCATATACATAGAGACCCCCCTCCATAACATCACACTTCCTGCTGATCAGTCTCTTCTAAAAACGCTATTTGGCAGTGCTAAGGATGTTTTGGACATCACTGGGATGATTCATAAGGATAGATCAAGATGGACAGTGGTTCCAGCAAGACACATAAAATTACCCCCTAGCCAGACTGAGAGAGAGCAATGTCAGGGTGGCTGATGAGCAGAAAGTGTGACGCTGAGTGGGCATCGCATTCACCAGGCTTGACTCACCCCAAATTTTTATCCGGTGGAGGAACTCAAAGCTAATTTGTACCAGAACGACCCTCAAACTCCAGGAACAGATAGGCGATACCGCCTCCAGATATTGTACCACCAGTTTGAGTAATAAATAATTTTTTTTTGCCAAAAATCCCCATTTTTTAGAAAATTTTGGCCCGTTTGACCTTGAAATAAAGATCAAATCCAAGGGCATATTTGAAATCACCAAATATGACCTTCCGTCAGCCATCAATACTAATTTTTCCCAATTTTTCCCATAATTTTTTGTCAAGATAACTGAAACTTTGGCAGCAAATCTCTTGACCGTTGATGGACTGTTGTAGGATTAAAGCAATTTTTATTTTTTTCATCACCCTTTATTTGTACATATTCTAGCTTGATAAATGTAATTTTCTGTACTAAATACGTAAATGGATCTTAAAATATCTGCTAGCTTCTCGTGGGGTTCAGTAAGCCATACAAAATATCCCACTGATACGCACTCTGCTTGCTTTCTGACAAGACGTAAATCGCGTTACTGGATGTTAATTTTTTTAGTATACTTACATGTGAAAAAATGTTTCCCAGTAACGGGAACGCAAACCTTCAATTCAACAAACGAATCCGAAACGCAATTGATTTTCCTTCCATTTTGCGATTTAAAGTAAATTGAATCTTCTTATAAAACGCAAAGATCATGGTTTTTAACTTTAGAATCAAAGTGATTTTGTTCAAAATCGAAGCTTTGCAGAAATGCCTCGAAACAAATAAGAATAAGGAACAATGATTTTTAAACTTCAACCTTTAAATACATATTTTTTCAGGACATTTTACATAAAGGGCAATTCAGTTTCCTTGTGAAGCTCAAGTATGGATTTAAAAGACAAAGTGGCCTTTATAACTGGATCAGCATCTGGCATTGGCCTAGCAACTGCGGACTTGCTGCTGAAGCATGGTTCAAAGGTATTTAGGAGTAACAAGCACGGGCTACCTTTATCCATATGATTGATGGACACAGTGTTGCCCATAGAAGTGTTGCCCATGGAAATTTTTGTACAGTTTCTCTCTGACGTATTCTCTAACTCCATTAAAATATCATTAACAGCTCCCCCTCTATTAAGTGTCTTTACCATCTTACGATCTTAAAAATTTTGTAGGTGGCACTCTCAGACATTGACACAAAATTAGGGGCAGAAGCTCTAAACAAGCTGATGACGCAATACGGCGAATCAAACGTCATTTTTATCAAGTGTGACGTCACAAAAGACGAAGAAATTGAAGGTACATTTTTAATAAGTGAACCATTTTCCATAACGATAAACTCCTATTTTTATCGGATTATTTTATTATTTAGGGCACTTTGGAAACAAGTCAGATGGCTTTATCTAAGATGTCAATATCCGAAATTCTTTCCTCCTTCATTCATTCCTTCATTCCTGCAATGGCCTGTATCACTTTCACAATGGGGGAAGGATGGCAGTAGAGGGGGCATTTTAGATGTTATATTACGAAAGAAAAACTTTATTTACTAAACACATTATACTTTTCCTCACCTTCGTGTACATTATTCTAAACTTCCAGATGCTCTCAAGAAGACAAAAGCAACGTTTGGGCGCTTGGATATCATTATGAACAACGCTGGGATTGTGAATGAAAAAGACTACAAGTTGTGTATTAGCGTAAACGTGGTACGATTTTAGATATATAAAATCAAGACGTACACTTAAATGCAACCCGAGCACATTATAACTGAACTACACTTATCTCATTCTGACACATAAAAAGTGTATGGGGTTTGTTTTAAAATTTGCCAATTGGAGACTGGAGAATAAATTTTAACGTAAAATCGATTAATCTGTTATTCCAGACCGCAGTTATAAGCGGCACTCTGATGGGAATGGAATATCTGCGCAAAGACCGTGGAGGAAACGGTGGTGTTGTCTTGAATGTGGCTTCTATGGCAGGTACGAAAACCGACGGCAGTACGGGATTGTAGCCTTTACACTCGTGGTCAAATCTGCCAATTTTCGTGATAAAATCTTGTTCAGGGATGAAGTTATGCCCCATACCGATTGCTAGTTTACCACAAAATACAACGGTGTTAAAATACAACTTTGTTTATTGCATTGATTAAAGTTCGAGTTGCCTGTGTTCTTTCACTGCAATTAACGCCGAGACTGTATATTTTCGAGGAGTTTTTATTGTTTTAAATCAGCACAACGATAGATGCATTATTGAATAATTAGATGCAGGAAATTTTCGGTATATGGATGATGATCAAGAGTTACAATATCCCTAAGAGGCAATTTTTTGCAGCTATTAAACACAGTTGCAGTAACCCTTACTCATGAGCAAGCGAACATTTTTCAGCTTTGCTATTGTAAACAAATATAGCGACTCCCTACGTCTAAACCCACAACAAAAATCAGTAGAAAATTTGTTAAATGCTGAGACCCCGAATGAGCGCCTGTTCGGTATTATTAACTGTCGGAGAAAAGCCTCCTCTTCTTCAGTTGTCGGCCGCAGGATCAGTTTTATTTGCAATGCATTTTTGTACATAATGCACAACTTTCAATCAAGAATGGCAGACTCTTGTCCATAAAATCAATTGATTTTGAATTGTATTCTTTCCAGGTCTTAAGCCATACCATTACTTTCCTGCTTACGCTGCTACAAAACATGGAGTCGTCGGGTACACCCGTTCCATTGCGGTAGGTTAATTTTCTCTTCTCTTTAACATTAGAACTTGAGTAGACGCCAATTCAGTAATGGTGACCAACACTCACCCTGACAAGGCATCGACAAGTGCAAGAACGGTTGTAAAGATGAAAAGAGTGAAAAGTATTTGTCGATACAACCGAATTACTTCATCATTGGTCATTATAAACCGGGTATTTAAAAGTATCATGGGGAGGCATTGGAAGGTAAAATCGGATTAAAAAAAGGCAAAGGATGCAACTTCAAAATAACTCAGGCAGTTATCAAGAAAGAAAATAATATTAATCGTTAAGGAGTAATTAATCTTGGTGCGTTCGATCACTATATTTGGTGGAACATATATCTTTCAGCATAGCATGGCACCAGACATAGCGAATCACGGTGTTCGCTTTAATGCCGTGTGCCCAGATTTTACTGACACCCCGCTTGTTCGCGGACTGGAAACCAAGAAAAGCCTCGAAGAGAGAGGGGTGTATCACATGGATGAACTGTCCAAGTTTATTGCCAAAAATGTGGATGACATGATTAGGTAATACACACTGTAAATACATGTATGGTATAGGTGACAGTGTAGGCAGATGTATATCAACACGGGCTAAAATATTTTGACTTTTATCATTGGATAACAACTCGTCAAGTGTTTTTTTTTTCACAGCACCTCCTTTCTTTTTTTAGAGTTTCCACTGTTGCAGAGAATATTGTGAAATTACTAGCAGACGAGAATAAAAATGGCGCCATTATGCTGATCAAGGAGACTGGAGCCTCCTTTTTGGATTCCCCGGATTTACCAAGTATGATAAACTCTGGCGCCAACTGTCAACCTTGAAGGACAATGAAGGTCACACATCATTGTCTTTGACAGCACGGATACAAAGCTGAGATAAACATTCCATAACCGAAAAGCAATTACTGTTAAACTGTCACAATGGAATTAACATTTGGGATGCGTTGCCAATTGTCGCTTTTGTCCTTTTCTTTTAATGTTGAAATTTCTCAACTTACAAACCAAGCCCAGTAATTATGATAAACAAATAAATGAGTAAAGGCATTTAATAAATAATTAAATATACCCAATTATTGAATTAAAAGGTTTGCTCTTGAATGGCCGCAACGGTTACTTGATTAATATGTTTTATCATCAACGGTATCTCTTTGCTGTGTGTTCGGTATAGCGGTGGCATATATAGCAAAAAAAACTTGAAGTGCACTATGCTCACTGCATTGTATTAATCTGCTGCAGCACTTGTTTTCTTTTTAATAAATCAAATCTATGGTCAATGTCTATAAAGAAATATAACATTTTGCTGCAGAAAAAAAATATTCGAGTATTCTTGAAGGATAAAGGCATAAATAAGGCATTGGTCAAATATCGTTTCACCACCTCTAATTCCATGAGTCTTTTATTTATGAATGAACACCTCAAAGGTGTAAATTGTCGTATTATTTTAGTCCTGTTGCCATATCTTATTTGATTAATGCTAAAGAAAATACAAAATAGCCGTGAAGACATTCATTCGTTATACCATTTATTCAAATTTATAAGATGCAGCCCCTCTAATCTGATGTTTCACTGTGATTTCCATAAATGTAACAAAATACCCATTTAAATTAAAAAGCCATCACCGAATGTCACCAAATTTTCAAATTATAAACATTAGGGTGAGCTTAAAGATCCCATGTCTAATTCGTGTGTGTCTGCCGTGTACTGCAATTATTTCCTGTAGGTGCATGGTGCCTCATGCCTTCAAAAAGTTTGTTGGAAAGTGTACCATGCAGTCATCCTTAAGAACTTAGCAGAGCTGGTCCAGATTACACACTCTCACTCATGCTACCGGTTGTTATGTACCTTTACATATACATATGAAATGAATGTCCTAAACTTATATAATTTTGTACGCTTAATTCAAGCGTGGGCTCGAAATTGGACATTACGTTTTAGACTTATTTAGTGGATAACGCGACCCAAAGAATCCACGGTTCGTGTCAGATTTACGTGAGGTCGCGCAAAGAAAACCTAAGTCCACATAATGACCAGTTGAATGGTTTATTGGTTGACGCTCTCTAACTACATTCTCTACGTCTTCCATGGCTCTGTCGAGCGGTCACCTTCGAGTCTTCTTCCGTCTGAACTCCCGATATTAATTCTGAACGTCTTTTATACAAAATTTCTTATCAGTGGTGGATTCTGTGCTGCATTATTTGGCGGTACATACTAATTTTAATTATTCAAATTGCACACGTCCACTTAAGTTACATAATTACAGGTAAGGTCATAAACTAGTCGAGTGCACAAGCAATCGACTCTAATCAAATTAATTAACGTCTGGGAATTATATTTGTGAACTCTACACGGTGCTTTGTAGGGTTAAGTTGTTGCAATACTGCGTATGTCTCGATCTTGGAAGGGTTTATGCAGGACATTTTGCTTGAGGAGTGGGGTCAGCCCGCGTGTGGAGAGCATTCCCAAACTCATGGTTTTTGTCAAATTTCCCGTCTCGGTTGGTTTATCATTTGCTTATAACGCAAAATGGATACTCTAGGTAAAAATGGTTGGATATGTGATGCTTGTTTTGCCTTAGTCTGCTTAGTCTAGGACAGTTTGGATATAATTCTTGCAAACTAAAGAGAAATTTTGAAATATATATATATAATCACAAAGAAAATTTTATTTTTGCACCCGTTATTTTACCAACTATCCAAGCCTACTGTTTTATATTTGCTGAATGCTTAGCCACGCAAACATGTTACTTTCTTTGTCCACTGCTTTAACATTAACCCTGTATCAATAACAATTGATTCCCTGTGCCCTACAGATTGTAGTGAATTTACTTTTTGTCCATTGTTTTATTCATGTTGCACGACACAGTTTTATGAAAGTCTCACATTTCAACTGCAAAAAAGTTCACCTTATCACCCAAAAGCAGAGGCAGAGGTAAGTGATATATTTTGCTTTAAGTACGATGCTTTACTTTTTTTTAGTATTTGCATCTGCTGTTTTTCTTCATTCAGCTGGCTGACATACGATGTAAATACAAAAATAAAGTGGATTTTGCTTCTGTGTTTGTTGCGGCCTGTAACTGCGCATCCACAACATATTTAAGTTTACATTTATTCCCCGATCAAATGGCACAACATTTTCAGTGTTAATGCTGCACTTTTCCATTACTAGCCCACTGCCACTATTGCCATAACTATCAAAAGTGTAATGGTACCAAAATGGCTGTTTTCCCAATTTCCCTTTGAGGCGGTGATCGGCGTGGTACCATAAAATGGCGGCATGCAGCTGTGGTACGTGGTGCTCGCCATGCAGGGAGGGAACGATTCTGAACGTATGCCTATAGGACCTCCGGCTATATAAAACTGTTGGTATTTTAGAGCATGCTCAATCTGTGCTTGTACATTATTGAAAGCATTACGGCCTTCTTCGTAGTTTGCTAGTCTCAAGTAGAGAGTTACCAATAACTTAACGGCGAATGTTATTGGATTGGTCTCTGTTGGTGCATTATGTTTCTGCTCGCAGCTTACAAAAAGGGCATTCTCTGCATTTAATACATCGGAAAATCGATGATCCGATCTAAGAATCCTACAGTCATCCCTTGGGGTTGGGGACCATCCACAGGGTTCAAAGTGTAACACGATTACATTTTGTAGTGCCGTAAAGTTGTACAAAAGTGGGCGGCAGTCGTTGGCATCAGGAGCAAATCCTGGGGGGCATATTATATGATGCTCTTCAGGCTGGAAACCAGAGGATGCACGCGGATGTATGATGGTTAAACTTGTGTGGTTTTGCAATTGATTTATTTACGGTTTCGCCAGTTTAAAAAATGCCAAAAAATAATGATAATAAGAAGAGAAAAACTGCTGATTATAATTACATAAATATGTTAACATAACATAATATAACATAACATAACATAACATAACATAATATAACATAACATAACATAATATAACATAACATAACATAAATGCATACTTTTTAGTAAACCATTAAATCCACTATTTTATTATTAGAAGTATTCTATTATCAGAAGTATCATTATTGTTTTTGATTTCTCACCAAATTGATGATGCCATCATTCTCTTTCCTTTCTAGATCTCCTACGTACAACAAGGCGCGGAAAGAAAGACCGATCACCTTCATTTGATCTGGTTCCGTTGTGTAACTTCGATCTGAATATACCATTCAAAAATGAAATGAAATGACTATATTATCAGTACATTAAATTTTCATTGCAAAAACTAATATGTCTGTCTGTTGAATACTTCCAACTTATCGAAACCTAAATATAGAACTATAACAAGATATTTAATTTCATTCAATACTAATCTCAAAAAATAATATATTTGTCTGTTGAATACTTTCACCATGTCAAAACCTAAATACAGACTATAAGTAAATAAGGATATATTTTATTTTTAATGGTTAATTTCGGTTTTGAAGCAATTTTATCGATTGTCTCATATTTTGGTTTATAAAAGAAAATAATTTGAACATAAACTGCTTTCTAAGACCCAGAAAGAGAAAAATGTTATCCCGAGGGAAATTGCAATTTACTCGCCAGGATTAATGCACTGTTCTGACCCACTGTTGTCATTTCGTGCACGAAATTTAAGGCAAACAGATCACTCACCTTCGCAGACGGGATTCTCACCAAATCTGTAACAGAGCAGGCAGTGGTAGTTCTTGAAACTTTTTTCATCCTCGCTTATGAGAATGGGGTTGTTGTACGCCATGCAGGCATCACGTAAGGGGGAATGCAGGGGGAGTGGGCGAGGTACCCAGTGTACGTCTCCATTGATAATACTGAACTCACAAGGACCAAAGTCACGATCCTCCACTTCCCGGAAACATGTCCTCAATTTCCACTCTGGTTTCGACTCGAAAATACTATTGCATCCGAGATATGCCAAATGTCTTAAAACATCAGACGAGGAGTTGTAGTTGATCAACATTTCAATTTGAACCCCTCCAGTGCAATAGACGACCAGTCCCCATGGCTCCCCACCGCCGTCGATACCATTACAAGCTGCGCAGTACTTGTTTTTGAAAGTGATCATTGTGTCTGGATCGGTGACTGGTTGGTGCAACAGCACGTCCTCTAAGAGGCTTGTATTTGAGGTATCGGTGCACTTAATACGAGTGTTTTCTTCTAACCACGACGAGGGACATTGATCCACCATCCAAACTTTCAACCCTAAGCTGTCCTCATATCCGACTGTGCTTTGTGGTATTTGTCGGTGCATCTTTGGAATATATTTGCAAGAGCTTCTTTGTGCCAGAGAAATCAACATAGGGTCGACCAGTTCTTTCCAAAAAGGAGTTGTGTTTGAGATAACAGCCAGAGTGGTGCTGTTACTTTGAGTTTCTGTTTGGTTGGATGCAAGGATTGTTTCAAAGTGTGAGTTATTGTGCGTCGTTGTTAATCTGACTGAAGCAGCACACATCGCGGTATTTTCTGTCACACCATAGCAACAGTCATCATACAGGACGCACAGAGGGTCACAGTTGCAGTGGATCATAAGGCCAAATTGACGAGTTGGTGTTCTTGTACAGAGCCACCAATACGGCATTAGGGATACGTCTAGGAAAGAAAAAGTTCCCTTCGCTGTTTCTGCAGTTTCACTGCTGTTGGTCAACCCATCGCGTACTTCATCCTCTTCATGTGGTGAAGGTGTTACTCCCTGAAGTATTTCACCTTCAGTAGTGTGTGGCTCTTGTGTGACCCCCTCACGGATATTACCCTTAATAGTGGACGACTCTTTTGTGAAACCCTCATAGATTCTACGCTCAGCATTTGTTGACTCTTGTGTGGGTTCCTCGCTGATTCTTCCCTCCGTAATGGGTGACTCTTGTGTGACTCCTTCGTGTATTCCATCCTCAATATTGGAAAAGTCTTGTGTAACTACCTCGTGCATTCCCCCACTGGTGACGGTCGCCATATTTGTAGTTTCCTGTTTTTCATCTCTATATGATGACTCTCCCGTGTATCCCACAGGTTCCCAAATCTCTGAACTGGATGACCGGTGTGTGGATCCTTCAAATTGGCCTTCTTCTTGGGCAAAAACCAACACACCGGCTGTCAGCATGCATAAAATGAGATAGATGGTCATCATGCTATTTGATATGAAATCCCTATGCGGCAGTAGCACATAAAACTGAAGCAGAACAGCGTTTCGAAATCTTTTTATTCCGCTTACTCCCTTGTTAGCAGAGATAATTAACTGCCGGAAAATTATATCGAGACGCACTAATTGTTTTTGCGTAGACGCGCGG